TGATTCCTAGCGTCTCAGGCCATTTTGAAGCGTTTTCGGCGAGTTAGCGCTATGTTGGTGTTTGTGGGGAGGAGCGTTGCGTGACGAGACTAAAAACGGCTGCGAGGGAGACTAATACAAACCTTTATAAATGTAAAGCGTTGCGCAACACGGTAAGAGTCACGTCAGCTTGGGCTGCCTGTGCGCCATGTTGTTTGTGTTGGCAGACTTAGAAAGACCTAGGAAAAAGTTAAATACGACAGTTGTCCTACTTTTTGCACATGATATTACCATGTTAGAAGAAGAAGAAGAAGGCGACGAAAGGCAGTAATAGAAAAAGGTACCATGTAAAGGAAATTAGTGCCACGCGAGGATATCCCTGACGAAGCTTATGGGAAAGTCTGAGTATCTAAAAATAACCGTCCCTGTAGAAACGCCGTTTCATAAGAACACCGGGTAGAGGCATTATGGTAGATGAACTCTCCTAGTGCCGAGTATTGGGGTTCTGAATGTGTTAAATTCGTTGCTTACTTAATTCTTTCATTTGATCGGGTAGTCTAGTCTGAGTGAGTGTAGCCGTTCGGGTGAGGTTAGTCCTGAAAAGGAGTGGTGTCAGTCGTGGTGACTGACGTTTTTTTTACCAGATTCAGTAGACTCTGATGATGACTCTGGTGACTCCATTGACTCTGAGGATGACTACCGCTCGAGTCGTCGAAACGTTGGTCTTCACTGCTGATAACAATCCTTCTAAAAAACTACTCTCACCTATACGATCAAATGTTACTCCAACTTTGATTTTATTCGCAGGGAAAGGCTGGGGAGAGAAAGTAATTTGTACCAAGAGGGTGAGTGACGGTCAAAAATAAGAAGAGGGGATGGGGTGGGGGAGTGAATACAATGGAATCAAGGAACTGCTTCGTCATATCGAGGTTCTGTGGCATACATTTTACTGTAACTTTAGTCGGGCTGAAACTGGAGTAACGTTCGTTCTACTGAGGACTTCGTTAAATCGAAGTTCCACTGTATTATTCTCGCCCTTCCCCCGCCCCCGACCCCCACCGTCCACTCTGACTCCAAACCAAACATGGCGTTCGGATAAACGATCACGAGCTTATAACCTTAACTCACCCTATAAGACGCCTGCACTGCAGGCTATAAGGATCCCGAAGCGTCTCGCGTACGGCGAGAGGATGATTTGAAGGAAAAAAATCGACTGTTGAGACAGACGGATTGAACGAAAATTAAGGTATGACTCTGGAAGTTACGTACGGGGACATTACTGCAATCACAAAATTTTTGCATATTGCTATAGACAGGACAGAGCTTCCAGCTTAGCTAATTCTTTTATGCAAGCGAAGAAACTTCGAGGTCTCTCGAAACGTTGAACACCCACCTTTATGACGCAAATAGTAATTTTTTTATTACTCCCCTGATGATTTCCAACGCTTGGTTGGTTATAGTCACAGCTGTTACGTTTTAAGACAAGATCTCTATTGTGACCCCCTTCATCGCCAAAACAAACTGAGAATAATAAACTCCCATCAGCTAAATTTTGCTCCAAGTACATTAATACAAACCATGTTGAACTTAACCTTGGGCGCTTGCGAATCAGTGGAATGCATTGAGATCAAAACAAAAGCCATACATTTAAATATTTTTGTTCGTTGGGCTCACGATTCGTGAAATATTTAGCTGAGGAAATTATAATATTGATTAAGCTCCTACGCCCTTTAGGATTTTAAAAGAAATTTTCATTAGTTTGTGGTTAGAATATCGAAACTCTGCTCATCTGTAGACAACGACCAATATTTGATACCCCCCATCAAGATGACGATGTTTTACGTCAACAAATGTTTTATATTTAACAGGATAGTAAGGTGAGAGCGGAAGCGGGTTTGCATGTTTCGGTATCGCGCGTGACAAAAACCGCTGGTTTGGTAGCTCTTATCTTAATGGATTAAAACTGATTATCCATCCAGAAGCCTTCATCAGTACGTGTCAAAGTTGTCAAGTTAGCAGTCATTGATCCTATAGTTTCCTTATTAATAGTGCGAGGGTAATCACAGTTTTTAAAAGCGGCGGTTGCATAAATCAGCGACTATGTCTCTTCCGGAGCTCACGGTTGGCGTAGTAAACTATAACAGCATTGAACTCAAATGGGGAGATTCGGAAAATAATAACACCAGCAAGAAGAGAAAATTATTTCATGTACAGTTGAACAAGGGTCGTGCGCGAAGCCCTTGTCCTGGCGGACCGACACTCGATCCACTGACCAACTACCAGGGCTACAGTCAACAGTTTGTTTTCAAAGGCTTGGAGTCTATGACTCAGTACCTATGTCGTTTGCGAATTATGGAGAGCGACAGCGATCGGAATGGAGGCGGGTGGAGCGAGCCGATAACTGTCTGTACACCGAACGAACCTCCGTCCGGAGCCGAGCTGCATAAGGCGGTTTCCAGGCAAGACTTGGATACCGTTCGTAAAATTCTGGAAGAAAATAGCGCGGTAGTTGAGGTAATGGACAAGTTTGGATTAACTCCTCTTATGGTTGCAGCTCAAAAGGGATTTACAGGTGGGTCAGATTCACCGATCATCCGACACGAAAACTGAAATTTAGGTTACTCCGTGGGAGTTTTTATAAATCCAGTTTTATGCAAATTTTTTGTAGCTTACGTCGAACTACATATGTAAAGTTGGAGTAAATTCTTCTCGCACTTGAATTTTGTGTTGCGTTTTAACGCCGAACCTCGCATCGAATTTATTTTTATGTGATTACATTTTAATTTTGTTTCGAAGTTTCCGCTACGTGTCTTACGTCGCCGATGCTTTTTAAGGTATTTGCAACCCGACAATGGAAGCTGTACTCTGTATAAGGCCCTGTTTATACAAAACAATAAAGGTCCTAGATTGCTCTATTGATAAATGGGCTCCTTAAATATGCGAAGATTCCAAATAATTAGTTATTTTATTTTTTCTCTTGTACAACACGAAAACATTTCCTGCAACGAAACCCTTAGATAAGGAAACGAAACCTAAAATGGAACAGGATAAAGATATAAATCTTCACTTTGCTTTACTCCTGCTCGGTTTATAGTCAAACGTTTTTCTTGAAATGAGATTTTTAATTAATTGATGAGTTTGCCAAGACTGTTTTCTTAAAATCTAAACACTTCAAAGCGAATTTCTGAAAATGTCTTGGAAGGGTTTGTATCTGTCAGTTATATCTTTTATTACCCGCGGTCAAGTACATTAACATCGGATTAAGTTTTCTTTCTTTCCTTTTTTTTTTTTTTTCGCGGCAAAGGTAAATTAAACGAGAAGGAAACTTCTTTACACAACAAAAGTTCCAGCTGTCTCCTCCGTTTCATGCAACTACAATTTATTTTATTTTACGGCGCGAAGTCTTGGGGTGAGACATTGTTGATCATCACTTAAACAGCAACAAATGCAGAAAATAATTTGTTGTTACCGAAACAAGGAGACAACTTGAATTCACATTCTGGTTGTCAAGGGACTTTGAAATAATTGAAAAGTGAGAAAAAAAAAAACAAAAACAAAAAAACAAAAAACATTGCCACAGGGCTGATTACCGACATTAATGCATCCGCTGAGTTGAAATGATGAATATTTGAGATAATACAACAGGTTATCTATTCAGCGTCTCCAATAATTATATGATAATCAGTCTCCATAAGCGATGACCACGAACGAGCCAACGCATATCTCGTTAGAAGTAAAAGGTGACCGATTTGTTGACATCAAGAGTCAGTTACTATGGTTTAGTTTAATATTATCCGATATGCTATTGTGAAATTTTGCTCAGCAAACCAAATTGTGTCAAGAATTATTTACACTTCATAATTACAAAAACGCACACAAAAAAAGCTACTTTTTTTATGCTAATATGAGCCTTCGTCCCTCGTTAGCTTTTGTCTGAGGTATCACAGAAAGACGTGACCATGTAATTCCATATGGAATCAAAGTAATCGATTTTACTCTGTATTCGAAAGACTGCTTTCCGCGTTCGGCCCTTTTTGAATTAAAAGAAAAAAAAAAATCGAAAATGATGCAAGTAAAGCACGAGCGCACAAGCTGAATAGCATGCCCATGCGTATCAAAATCGACTAAAAACCGTTTAAACTTGTGATCAGAGTTTATTTATATTTCAATTTTTTTTTAAGCGGTAATCAGTAAAGCCAAACAGACTTTGGATTTTAAATTCGAAAAGGCTTTCGAAAGGCTAAAAAAAAAGCAAACAAACAAATTTTCACTTCCGCCTCTGTTGTAAGTAACAGTTAAGTGCACATTCGGAAAGGTGAAGTCGGCTTTCTCCACACAAAATCTTTTGATTCGTTTTTGAAACAGAGTTTGATGATTAATGCAGATACAAGAATGTGTTCCAAAGCACATAACTGACCGAATTATGTGCCGAAATTATTAACTGCGATTATACTTTTCATGGCAGCCATTATAAGAATTTATTCTGAGATATCTCTGGGTGACGGAAATTGAGAGCAATGATAGGAAAACGTGATTGCCCCTTTTCTCGACCAGTATCCCTATTTGGCCTGCGCATGGGGTCTCGTTTAGGTTTAGAGGCCTAAAAGATATGGTGAACGATAAACGATTTAGAAGCGGATTGAAAACCTAAGTAATCTTGTTCATCAAACGTTATCTACATTGATCGCAATTTTCCAACGGTTGTCACGCAACACTTCCTCAAAGCGTCGTGTGACATCCCAAAGAGTGGCTGCGGAGAAGACTAGCATAATTCTTTCCAGAAAAGACAGACAGGAAGTCCCTGTCGACCTTAGCGGTGCTCGGTCGGCAAACGACGAAGAAGTACAAGGAGAAAATCATCATCATAATTTTTGCGCAAGAAAAGTTTGCATCTCTTTTAGCTTGTTAACGTGTAGTTGAACTTGTCTATAAATCAAATTATATCCTTTTCAGATGTGATGGAAATACTCCTCGAATTCAATGCCGATCCCGAATACCCGAACACTAACGGCAAGACCAGCCTGATGATCGCCTGCTACGCTGGCCAAGAAGACGCTGCTAGACTGTTCCGTCAGCACGGTGCGTTGTGGGAAACACGTGACAAAATTGGATTAACCGCTGTACACTGGGCTGCAGACGGAGGCCATGATGATCTCCTTTTATGGCTCGTGCGTGATGGAGGTCCTGTTGACATAGAAGACAAAGTCAATGGCTGGACACCTTTGATGCGTGTTGCGTGCCTAACCGGAAACGATGAAGTAGCGGAAGTTCTCATAGCGAAGGGTGCCGACATCAACAAGATCGATAAATCCGGAAAGACAGTTTTAATGGCGGCCTCTTTGAACGGGCATTTTAACCTGGTGCGTTTGCTCGTCGATAAAGGCGCAGATGTGTTCCTCAAGAACAGAGAAGGGAAAACAGCTTTGGAATTCGCCAGATCGATGGATAGGCACAGGATTATAAAATATCTTGAATTCCAGGTGGCAAAAGAAGAAAAACAACGAAAAGCGAAACAACTGGAGGAGAGGCTCAAAGAGACTCAACAGAAATTGGGCCAAATGCAAATAAACCCTTGAACATGAAGTTTTGGGAATCTCCATCCAGGGCCACTCCTAAGACTCTGAGAAGTGTCCCTTGAATAGAGGAGTCTCCTTAGTTAAGTAGGCGGATCCAATGGAACCTCCCTTAGGGACAGTCATAGTGCTACTAAAAGAGGACCTCGAATAGAGGAGTCCCTTTCATTAAGGTAGCAAGTTATAACAAGGCTTTTGTTTCCCTTGAATGAAACTCTTTCCTGTATAAGTGTCCTTAAAGAAAGATTCTTCTTCAGTCTTAATCATAAAAATTTTTGGAGTTCGTGGAAGCTCGAGGAATGAATTCGAATGTCTTAGGATACGTTTTCGTGTTACAAATCGCGATTGTTAACTAGACAGAGTGTGTTCTTCAGTTTTAAGGTAGATTTTTCTGGCTTTTCAGATTTAACTAAATGCTCATTGAGCAGCGGAAATTTAAAAATCACTTCGTTACAAGCAGTCATATTGTTTGTGTCTGCTAATCTTTTTTCTGAGGTTGTACATCAGCAAGTCGCTCAAAGGGTTTCGAGTTTATTTCGTTCAATTAAATCATCGAGTAACATTGCATGATGTGCTGTTCATTACGTTCAATTCTGGGTAAAATAAGATTATGTAATCAGAGGCGGATCCCAGAATTTTTTATTGGGGGGGTCCAAACTTTGGTTCAGAAAGGACTGTTGGACTCTTTTGAGGCAAATTACTTCTCTCCCACACACCCCCACACCCCCTCCCACCAGTCGCGGTTGCACGTTATAATTCCTTGGCCGCTTACTGTTTACTTGGAGTCATTAAAAAAGTCAGCCAGTTAAAAAGTGATGTATGATCCTGTCTCAAAGTTGTAAGCGTCAGGTCAGATAGGGGGGTCCCGGTTCCCCGGACCCTCCCCCTGGATCCGCCACTGGTAATGCCGTCGATAATTTATTATGAATTTATCATCATTCTTAAATAAGGAACGAAATAATCCGTCAGTTTTCTTAATAATTTTTTCTCACAACTACAAGTAAAGTACATATGAAGTGGAAAATAGTCGCTGCTTATTTTAAAGGCTTTTCAAGATAAATAAGAATGGCACTGACATGATCTTTTTCAACAAGTTCTCTCGTGGCGAAAAATTATATGCAGTTCACCCAAGCTTAAAAAAACCTTCCCATAGGTATTTAGATTGGCTTAACAGCGTTTGTAGATGGGGATAGGGGCTTATCAGCGGAATCAAATGATGTTTCGAAGTTTGCCACAACAGAGCCAGGTTACCGAAATATGTTTCTCGTCAACAGGTTTATTAAGGCTTTCAAACATCATAATAAATTGAATTCATTTTGTTATTTTGCAACACTGAGATTCAAAACAAACAACCGGCGTTGCACGCAAAAAACGCAACGACGACTCAGCCTTAATTTCCTTTTGAACTAATAGATAATGATAAAGTAATAACTTATAGTACCGCATGAGTGCTTAAAAGTATGAAAAACTAAATGGGCTCATCCGGCGACGCTTTTAATGAGGAGTAATTTTTTGAAATGAAAATGAAAATGTGCTAGGAACTAGCCTTGGATACATAATTTTATTTTTGCAATTTGTAAGTGATCTCGATTTCTGTTTTGTTAGATTCTGAAAAAAGGCTCAATGTGCGCCGTGTTTATAGACTGCTTCGCTAAAGCACAAAATATTCCTCCTGGGTATAAGCAGTACTTGGCAACGTGGCTCTAGTAGAGGTGCAACTGAAAAATGAGCTTGAGTTTAATGGCTTACATAATTCTGGCAAACGAAAGCATTTTTAGTTTTTGGAAGGAAACTGGCCTCTGGCTCGCTCTTTGGCGACCTCCACATCGACATACAGGAGCTTTTCGAGTAGATTATTTAAATCTCTCGAAATTTTTCTCAAGCCTCTCAGATCTCCAGTGCATTTGACATCTGCTGTAACTTTCTCATAATTTTTTCGCACGCTTTAAACCCATCGGTGCTTTCTCTTCTCAACATGGACTTTTTGTGAACCTTTCGACGAAGACCCTTTGCCCTTTGAACAGAAGAATGATTGTGAAGCGCCTTCTTTTCATCACTCTTGTTCGCGCTTTGCCCAGCACTAGTGTCAGTTTTCCCATCTTTTTGGGATTCAGACTGCTTTCGGCGGTGAGCAGAGGATACCAAATGAAACCGCATCACTTTCACAACGGACTTTGTTGCGCCGAGTAAGAAAACTCTAAATTTCAATAAAAAAGATTCTCTCTGGTGCCTTGTAGCTAGAAGAGTTTTGGCTCTCTTCGCACGTTCTTTGAGTGTTATTGCAAATTTGCCTTCAACAAATACCATTTACAATTTGCAAAGTGTAATGCAAATATGTTAACAAATTTGTTAATGAACTGAATTCGAGTAAATAAGCTGTAATTTGCCTCGCGGTAGACAAATGGCTCTTAATGAGCTCTGGCCACAAGTAATTAGTAGCTTGAAGTGCTAAAGTGTAACAGCCACTCCAACGAAATGGACTTTATCGTCGTGCACCAACTGTCAAATTTTTGTTCTACTGGCACTAGCTTTCTTTTATTTGTTGGTGCGTATTACGTTGGTCATTCATCTAAATTTTGGACGAGGAATTCTTGATCTATCCATACTGCTATGGCAACCTCATGAACGGTCGGAAGTAAGCTTCAACCTCATAAACGGTGGGAAGTAAGCTGGAAACTTTGAATTGAATGTCATTAGAACAGGCATAAAGCTGTTTTCTCAAATTATCAACATTCTTGACAAAATTATGTCGCGCTTCTTTGGACAACGATTGATTTTTTTTTTAAAAGCTTCTTGCCGTGTATCAGCAAGTGCGCGCGCATTGAAAATGTATATATGGATGTTAATTACGGATAGGTAGAAAGTAGTTTTTCGAACGACGATTCATATCAAGTGCGCGTGATAATGCCGTGCAAGCTGTGATTTTCAACGCTGTATGTTACGGAGAGCATATATTGAGATAACAAGGACGATAATTCTACTGAAACGTAGTGCTAAGTTGGGTAGACCTCTAGGCAAATGTATCGCCTCAAGACCGAACCCCTAAACAGTAAACTGAAAGGCCGTTTACACGGCAGAAAAATCGGGTACGGACTTGTCAAAAAAGGAGTACGGACCTGACGTTTTGGCCCGTGTAAACAATCCGTACCATGTTTTGGGGGATGGGTACGGACCCGTGTTTTTTCTTGTTTTGGGGCCATAGACGTCTATGGCCCCAAAGCCAGAAATAACACGGTTCCGGACCAATTTCTTGCAGCACGCGTCGCCATTTTGTTTACAAGAATTACCGTATTTACTCGAATAAGCGCCGCACCCCCGATGCAGCGCTTATTCGAGGAATTCCGTATAACCAGGAAAAACACTGAAAAAAATTTTAACACAGCATCGGCAATTTATATTCTTTAAATGTGATGTTCTTTAGTTCAAAGTGACTGTATTTCTCTGCTCGGGTTATGAAACGCTCGGGGTTTTTTCACCGCATGAATTTCTCTCGTAATTCTAGATTTACTATCAGTTTAGCATCAGTCCATTGGAAAATTGACAGATAGAAAGTGTACCGTTGAATAAAAATATAGAAAAAGTAAATTTGTCTGATACAATTTTTAAATAAGCGCGGCGGCGCTTATTCGAGTAAATACGGTACGCATGTTCGATAACAGCACACAGCTGTACCAAATACTGTAGTCCCATGCAAGAAATTCGTCCGGTCCTCCAAAAACTGCCGTGTAAACGCAACCTTGCTAACTTGGTCCTTATGCCTCTTTCTGTCCGACCCGTGGTGAAACATCATCCGTGTAAACGGCTAAAATTATGCGGTCCGTACTACTTTTTTCACACGTCCGTACCCGATTTTTCTGCCGTGTAAACGTCCTTTGAGTTAGCCTTGGGTGTCAAAAAATGCGACAGTATTTAAAAGCACTGACATAATAATAACAGAGTGAAACCAAAAGCTTAGCCAAACTCTTCCCACAACTCTTACAAACTTCCAGTTTCTTTTGTCTATTGATTTATTGTATTTTTTGATTCACGTCATATTGATAAAAACCTTAGAAACTTAGAGGAGAGGGGAATCTGGAAACGAGGTTGAGACTGCAACCGCTCGACAATGCTTTTAATAACGCATGAAAATTCCCGGATAATCTTCACGCGGTTCAAAATCCAACATGGCTGAACGGGAGATTACAATCGGAGGAAGGCGACTTTCTCAATTGAAAGTCGATGAACTTAAAGTTGAGCTGGAAAAACGCGGCCTCAAGAAAAGTGGAAACAAAGGGGTTCTTATTGAGAGGCTACAAGAGGTAACGTAGAGCTCTCCAAACCGGGAAAAAATCGTAGACTGTATCACCTCCTTTTCCATGTTTGTTGCTTTTGCAGATGAGCTCTTTGTTGATTGTCAGCTGTTGCTGTCTTCTGTCATGAGAGAGTTGATTAAGGCATAAATATTTCAAACTAGAAAAGGAGAAAATTTTAGCCATTTTGATAAATGTACAATTTACAATAGCGGAACAATGCAATTTCGAATCACCTAGTCATTGACTAATGTGAAGAAAATCGCGTTTTACACAAATATTTTTCCATAAAAGGCAGATAATCGAGGTTTATGATCTGTATGAAATTCATTTATGTCTCAGTCGGGATTATAATGCAAAGAGAGAACATTAAAATCATATTTCTTCGATGTAATGTAGTGTCTGAAATTTATTTGCAAGAATAGTGAAACTTCTCTCTACACTGTGTAAAAAGTGACTTTCCCAAAATGATTTCACTTTCTATTAATATTATACTCTCAGCAATAACTACCCAGAAACCTTAGGATTGAATTTTCTATCAGCTAAAATTTTGCTAGGTGCTTTCAGAAACCCTACAGTCTAAGTCCCTTAAACTGAGACTGAGAGGCAAAACTGCGAAAGCACAACACAGGTTATTTTCCTGCAATGGGTTGTGAAAAAGGGTGGCCAGTGCTGTCCATCAGATCACCAACTAAATTTCTATAACATGCATTAGTTGGATAGGAAGTTATCCTTTAATTGATGTTATGTACCATTTAAACAACTAAGGACTGATCTACTGTAGGTCTAAATGGCATTGTGAAGGAGACTAAAAACCTTGATTATTATAGAAATTGTGTGGTGGAAAGATGTGAGAGGTTCAGTGGCATGGGGCAAGTTGTTACTATCAATCCTTTTAACAGATGTTGATTGTTTGGTTGTCTGGTTGATTGCTATTAATTTGATAAGTGTTTGTCATTCACCATGGTTATTTTCAAGGCAGATACTGTCCAAAAAAGAAAAATATCTGCAGTTATGATTTGTTATTCTTTTACTCCAAAGATTTAAGTTTAGATCATGTCTGTTATACATGTACGTTTACATTAAGCTTGGAAAATTTGTTGTTAAGTGAAACAAATATCCTTCAAGTATTTCCTTCTTATCAAACCCCTTGATCAGATTTTAATTCTCCCCTCTAACTGGTATGGGTTCTTCATTCCTTTGTTTCATCTTTTCATTTCACATTTTAGGCCATTGACAAGGAAATGGAAATGAAAGAAGGGTTTGAGAGCTATCCTGTTCCACAGCAAGCTCCTGCACGGGTGAGAGAGCCTTGGCCTCATTCCATGATGCAGCAACAGCAACAACCTGGTATGCTATAGAATAGAGCTAACACAGTCCACATGTTTGTGATGTGTCCTCATAGAATGCAGAGTAATCCATCCATGTTCTTTTAGCTTACCTAATATTTTCCATGTTCATTCAGCTTACCTAATAATGCTAGCACAATACTTGTAGACGTTATCAGTGATTTGGTTACCCAGGTGATCAAGGCCTGTAGTCTTTCAGTCTGAGTAAGTTCTCTTTAGGGCAGCATTGTTGGGGTTCATTATGAATGTTCTCTCGCAGGAGAGAGGTTTTACTTTAACCTAAAGTAAGACTTACAATGTTTGCCATTATTTTGGAAGGTGGTTTCCCTGTCCAGCCTATGGGTATTCCACAAGGAGTGATAAATCAGCAACAGGGATTGTTGAATCAACCTCGTGTTATGATGAACCAGCAGCAGATGATGATGCACCAGCAACAGGTATAGAATATACTTTGGTGGACTCTGATATAGATTCGGTGTTTCTTTTTTTACTACAAATAATGCTTTCTCCCAGGATGTGGTAATAGTTAGTTTACAGAAAGTGTTTAATGTAAGGTCATGAACCCTTTTTTGCTGTTTTGTTGAATGAGTGAATGTATCAGGACCTCAATTGTCCAGACTTTTCTGTTACCCAGACCTGCTTCTTTGGTCCCATTATCTACTAACAGTTAGATTCATATTTTCAACTATCTGGACTCTCAATTATTCAGACTATTATGTCCAATCCCCGTGAGTCCGGTGATTGAGGTTGGACAGTTTCAGGGAACAACAGGCTTGTCCAAGGAGGCAGCTTTCCTTGTTGGGCAAAAATTGTAACTTTCTTTGGAGCAGGATTCTCATTAGAGGTCCTGGGTAAGGGTACCAGGATACACAAGTTTAATTACCTGCCTACAGTGTACCCTCATGTGGGAAATTAAAAGAGTTTACTTCCAGTCTTGATATTTTCCTCGGCTACCCTCTTAAGGATGCCATTGCACTTAGAAATGTAATGAAATGGTTTTCAGGAATCTGTCTTCTCAACCACTGTGCCTCTGTTTTTCATGATTTTAGTGGTCTTTCTTCATCTCAATTTTGTTTTTCATCATCAGCAAATAACCTCACCTGTTCAAGTGAAGGAATTCAGAGAACAGTGGCCTCAAGCCCAAATTCCACCACCCCAAATGATATATCAACAACCACGAGAACAACAAGCCTTGAATCAATTATCTCCAATGGCAGACAAGAAACCTTTAGCACATGCTTTGAATCATCAAGTTCCTCAGCCTGTCGTTGAACCAGAGGTTGAGTCATCAAGCTCATCAGATAATGAGCAGGACTCTGCTCAACAGTCTTCAAGTTCATCAAGCCAGGAATCAGATGATCATGAACAGGAACGACCCACATCACTGTTGAACTATAATTATTCCAATGATTCGAGGACTGAGGTAAAGGTTACCCCTGTAGTTGCAGAGGAAAGCAAATCTATCCCAGTTCAGAATGTTGAGGAGCAGTCAAAGGAATCTGTGTCTATGGCTCCAAAAGAAGAAGAGATGATGAAAGAGGAAGATATGGTTGCTAATGAGAGACCAGAGTTAGGACAAGATGAAAAAGCAGATGTTGAAATGGAAGGAGAAAGGAAAGTTGCAGAACAAAAGGAGATTGATGTTAAAGATGATGAAAAGAAAGAGGTTGTTGAGGAACGTGAGGATGGAGGGCAAAATGAAGCTGTTGGTGAGGAAAAGGAAGGGGACGTGTCTAGTGAGTCTCTTAAGAAGAAAGCAGCAGTTTCACCACCATCTCCTGCAGAAGAAAACACTTTTGAAGTTGAGCCAAGTGAAGAGGACAAAGCTGTTGTGGAGGAGCCAAAAATTCCATCACCACAGGTTTGTGCATACATTACTTTCAAGTGATTTCAGTTAAGGCTTAATTTCTTCCTCTGTCTTGAGTCCAGTCTTTGTTTAAATCATTTTGCTGGAATGAGTTGAAGAAGGAAACTTATGTTTTTTAGTGAAAGTCCACACATCTCTTGGAAGACTGTCACATCTCACAATCTATGGGCTGATTTCCTAAAACCTCAGCTAGCTATTGAGCCTGCCTAGTCCAGTGTTGAAACTTGGTTTCCATCGGGCCTAGTTGGGCATTTTAAAAGCTTATTACATGAAGGTTTCAGGAAATAATTATAACATTGAGATTCACAATTTTTTTTTTTTAATCACTGGGTACATTTTATTGATCATTCATCAGGTAAACAAGTTGCATAAAATTACTTGAAGAACAGTACATGTGCATGAAATGAAATTAGAAGGGTCTACAGGGAATTAAAAGAATTTTAGAGTGACATAAGTGCTTGACTTGGAATTGCTTAGAATTCAACAGAAAGCCATCATTGCTATTCAGGATTTGCCAGAATTTGTGGCACAATCCTACCTGTTACAGGTGTACATATACAGCCTGAAATGATATTGGCAAGCCTTTTGCATTTTAATTCTTTCACCTGCACATGTTCTTAGATTAAAATACATGTGGTTTTCTTGAATATCCAGTCAATTTGACCATGTTTGTTTTCTACAGAAGCCTACCTCTCCAGTTGTAACCAAGAAAAGAAAAATAAACATACCAAGTAAGTGTCCTTGTGTGTGATTTTCATGTTACATATCCTGTTTGTAGTATTTTGTATCTGATTTTCTTGATGTTTAAGGAACGTCTCTGCCTACCACTCCTACATCTGAGGGTCAACCAGGGTCAAGGAAAAGGAGATGGGGATCATCAACATCAAGCAAGAAAACATCTTTGTCCATTAGCACTGATTCACTTAAGGTATTTTGCAGTCATTTGACAGTGGTAGATTCTACTGGTTAACTTCAAGTAATCATTGTTACTAGAGACTGCATTTCACCCGTAAACTTCCTTAAGTGATAAATTCAGAATTTGTTCTTACAGTATCAATGCAATTTTAAGCAGACAATAACAAAAATATTAAGGAGGGGTTTTAAATTGATCCTACAATGTATGTGAAGTTCTCCAAAGATATCATAAGAATTGTATGGCAGACAGTTAGGGAAGTACTGGGGAGATCCTGGGAATGAAAGGGTAAAGGTAACCTATCAGTTCCTTTGCTATCCATCATTTTCTTGTGATGTACAATGTAGTTCTCAGAGATGATTTTTTCCATCAGGGATACAAAGGCAAAGATTCCTTGGATAACAAGCTTTAGGGACTTATAGATTCTACTACAATGATTCCCAGAACAAAAAAAGGGATTCTAATAGGAGCCAATTTATGACTTTTAAATAGATACTCCACTATTGAGGAGTAATTTAAGAGCAAATCCACCAAAAAAAAAAAATGAATATCTCGTATGCTGCCAGGATTTGAATGTCATGGCAGGGCTTTTATTCAGTACTTTATTGAGAGATGATCCCTCTTTGCACAGGATCTTATTCCAGGAGTGCAAGTGCACACTACCCCTGCTCTGGAAGCAGTCATGGATATAAGAGGTGATGATAATGATGAAGAAGAGGAGGAACCAGAAGAAAAGAGAAAGACTGAACAGAAAACTGAGGAGGAGAAAGAAGAAATATCAGCAGAAACAATACCAGAAGTGAAAGACGAGGGAAGGAGAAGAAAAGACAGAATTGTGAAGGTGGAAGAGAAGAAGACTATCAAGCTTCAAAGGAAGCTTGTTGTCATGGAAACTGAACCGGAAGGATTAAAAATGGAGGTTGAGGAAGGTATTCAAATGTTTGTGTTTATCTGGTTAGGTTACTGTTATTACCACTTACCTACATTTATGTAAATTTTTTTATTGTGTGATATTCCTTTAATATAATGAGAGTGGTTACTGTTTGAACAAGTGCAGCATGGCAACTTTCGAATGACCTTGACTTTGTTGCAGGCTAGTCATTCTACTAAGCAAACTACAGTGTGGTTTTACATGTATATAGCACAAAATTGACCCAGTTGACTTGTAAGGCAAATTGGTCAAATTTTTTGTTACTCCATATTTTCAGTCTTTTGTTGTTTTAATGATCATAATCTGAAATGAGAAAAAAACAATCAAACTGGTTTGAGCAAAATGCCATGCACCACTGAATGATGTTACTTGCTTCATATCCCCTTACTAAGGAATATGAGGTTTACTACTCTTTAATAACCATGAATGTGCAAGGCCATTAGAAAGCTGCCACTACACTTGGTTTGCATTTCTCTGAGGAACTCTATTTGTCTGTCTAACCTTTCTGCACACAGCAGCAGTTACAAGTAGAAAGTGTCCTAAAACGCCAGCCTTGCACTCTGTCCCTTTGTACATGATGAACCCTTTTCTGTGGCATGCGGTGCGGGAGGTTTTCTTTGGGGTCATTCCAGCTGGGTGCTCTGAGTTGAAAAAAAAATAAAAACAAAAGATGCAACTTCAATAATCAAGCGATTAAACCATGGCAAGCAGACAAATTGAATAGCCATGAACTGAGTGATATACAATATGTGATCACATGTCATGAGGTGTTGCTGGTGAACATGAGTCTTGAACCATTAAAAAATGAAAAGAAGATGACATGAAGCACTTGAAACAAGGCATGTTGCAAAGGATTCCTTACCACTGGCTATAAAACCACCATGCAGTGTTATCCATCAGGAATGTACACAAACAACAATGCCTCCACAGAGCAGTACCTCCACAGTATCTTGGAGCAACTGCTGTTCTTAAAATGGAAAGAATTGGAACTCAGTATTGTAAGAATTTGTTTGCATTTTTGGTGTGTGGTGTGATACGCAGTGCCATGGTTATGTACTCTCCCCCCTGACGAATGAATACAGTTGAGTTTGCAGCTTTAGGTCATATCATGGAGAAAGCTGCAAAATAGACTGCCTTCTGAAGCTTCTCAACGATTGCAATGCCTCAATAGATGTTCTTTGTTCAGCAGCAGAAAGTTGCACTGACCAAACCAAGGAGACCTTTCTACTGGTATTGCATGATGATGGGGACGAATAGGACAAAAAACCTGTTATTACTGCATTGTACATCAAAAGTCACACATACAAAAGAGACAGTCTGGCTCAACTTACTGATGATTGTGTGGAATTACTGACACTGTGGCCAACAACTCTGACATAAACCACTGAAGAGCTTGCATCCATTGTCATTGGAGATTTCAGTAGTTACCTTTTACTTGAACTACTCCTCATCTTGTCTATAGTGGACACTGTACTTATTGAAGAACTAACTGTCAATGGTTGCATAGTAAAGAACAAGGGACTGCAGCGCATCTTGGTGGAAGGAAAAGAAGAGGCTATGGGTAAATTCCAATCTTCATACCACATGAAAATTTATCATCAAGTGCTCTAGCTAGCCAAACAATGAACACAGCAATAGTACGGTGTTACAATGCTCAAGATGCAAAGCTACAAATGTATGCAGACAAAGATATTAACTGAAAAAGTTAATGCGGCAAAAGTGAACTTTCCTGTCTTGTCAGGAAGCAGATTGTGTAACCTCTCTACATAGAGTGTTAGACTTTGTTGAGTTAAAGAAAATCACCAAAAGCTGTGGACTAACTTGAATCCCACAGTTACAGACAAAAAACATTTGCTATTTCTAAAGGTGGAAAGATCATATGCTCAATTTCTGCTGTATCAGATGGGTTGATTCTGGGACTTGCTGTATCCGTGAGGAGGTTGAATGTACGCATCGATGTTCTCAAGTTCCTCTGTGGTTGTGCCTACCCCCACCAATTCTGTGTTTCAGCCGCAAACCATTTTACAAGCTCTTGTAGAGGAGTATTTTCCAAATAATTTTTATTTTAGAGGTTAATAGAATTTCTGAATAGTTTTCTTGTTTGGTGACACAAATGTTTAGTCTGTAAATGCGAAAAAAAGGGCAGTTTTTCTCGCGGTTTCTTGCATTTTTTTTTTTCTACTTTTTCAACCCAAATTTGAGGTCAGTCACTAAAACAAGGAAAACCAATTGAAGAATTTTATGTTGTTGTAGTGATGGACCAGAGTTTTTCCACGCAGTAAAATGCTCGTGGTAATTTCTGAATGGAACCATTTGTTTTCTTTACTAGATATAATGCACCCTGATAGGCAAAGGTAGAACTTAGAGTGGTATTAACGTTGATGGTCCCTAAAATTAGTAACATGCTCAACTAAGTACAAGAAGATTTTAAAAAATGTGTTTTTTACAACTGCAGATTATCCTTTTTCCATAGGAAAAATTGATTAAATTAACTGAAAAAAAATTCAGACTATATTTCTGTGTTGCACTATACAGAGCACTTAAATTAGAAATTTTCAAGTTCTCCCTTTTCACTTCGCATGATACTGTTACAAAAGAGCATTGCAATTGGAAATGCCCTCATTTTCAGTCTACAAATGAGCCTAGTCAAAACTTCAAGAGACTCATCAAAGAGGAATTTCTAGAAAATGCTGGTTTCCAACAGGAATTTATTCATAAGCATTACAGTGGAACAACTCTGGAGAAATATGATTAAAATGCCTATGGTATTTATTTTATGTCGAGACTATTTATGTTAGAGTAGAGCCTGTATTATTATTTGTTTTTTTTTTTTCTATGTTCGATACCGCTGACTGTTTTTCTATTTTACTATTAGAGCCTTCAGAGCACAAACCGGAAGATAATCCATATCCGAGGGGGTTGTCAGCCCCAGTCCAAGAGGAATCCCCACTAGCAGCAGGGAAGCGTTCCCCGTCGCCCGCTAAAAATCCCCGGTGTAAGACACTTCATGTCAAGAACCTCGTGCGACCTTTCACACAGAACCAGCTCAAAGACCTGCTTGGCAAACATGGAACCTTGGTGGAGAATGGATTTTGGATCGATAGGATAAAGTCACATTGCTACGTTGTGGTAAGAAAGAACAGCGCTTGCAATTAGAGTGTCGTAATTAAGAGCCAATCAGAAGAAAGGAAAATGTCTTTGAGAGCTAATGAGAATTCGAAGTGAAAACAACCAAACTTCCTAAAGCGCGGGAAAACGCGCGCGACCAAGTCGTGTTTGGGTTTTGTCTTACATCTGATTGGTTGAGAGAATGGCGCGAGAATTCTGAACCAATCACAGAGCGAAGTATAGGAAAACCTACGTAATCTTCGATTAGATCCGACACTCAATTGTCGATTGCTCAAAGCTTCAATTTATGGATTCAATAGGGCTTTCGGGGGGGGGAGTAGTTGCAATAACGAACAATTTTCATATGAGAAGCGAAAAAATTGCAGTAGTTTTGCTTAAGTGTGATTAGTCTAGAAAACACGCGCCACCTTCCCAATCTGTCCGCTCCAGAACTAAAAACGAATCCTTACATGTTCACTCTTAATTCCCTCCTCATCAGGCAGCTGACTTACGTTTACTTGGAGTTCTTATTGGTTTACTGTGATATTCTGCTCCACTGTGATCGCCGTTTTGTTTTACTTTGGTTTAGGTTTTGCAACCTGTAATCGAATCTTCGTTTATACAATCTCTCCCCTGATTAGTTTTTAAAATCTTGAGCAACTACATAATCACTTTTTGAGGTTAATTTTTTTTTTTTATCTCTCGGGTTCTGTTTTCAACAGTACACTGATGAGGATGATGCAGTGGCCACCAGACAAGCCCTGCATGGTATCAAGTGGCCGGCAACAAGTCCAAAAATCCTTGATGTTGATTACGCTGATGAGGATGAGGTTAGTGGGATTGTGACTGTTTCTTGGTAAAAGGTTTCAGCTGTTCCATCGTGAGTTTAAATTGTAATTTTGTAGTTTGAAAGGTAACGTTATTTTGGAGTTAAATTCAACCCTTGATGCTGCATTGCCTTACTGGCAACGAGACATTTCAAGAACTTTTCTGACCTCTAAATGCTGATTACATCCGGAAAATGATTTCGAATTGACTTCCGTTTTGGCGAATCAACTCGGGGGTAAGTTTCCGCCGGGTGAAACCACCACCTACCGCGACAGTCATCATTAGATTTAAGTGTGAAGTGAAACACTTTGACAGACTCTTTCGTTTAGGTACTTGGGCACTGTAAGCTTTGAACCGCTTAGGTATTTCTAAAGATTTGTACATTGTACAGGTTGGAGAACAATAGGACACGTAGTCCCCTACTAGGTTCATCCACCTAAACCCAACCCACCCATCCCACCC